TATGTTACTGAACATATGTTATTTCTCAATAAAGTACTGTCATCATGCAAAGTATAATAATGTTCATATAACTATAACAGCAAAAAAAAAAAACCTATTGGCTGGATTAAACAGCACTCAGATGTAACTGAAGGGAGAATTAGTGAACTGAAAGATCTGAAGAGACTACCAGGATTGCATCACAAGACACAAGGAATGGAAAATATGAAGCGAGGTTAAGGGACATAGAGGACAGAATGAAAAGGTCTAGAATACTTCTGATCAGAGTCCCCAATAAAAAGGGTACAGAGAATGGAAGAAGAGTAATATTTGAAGAGATGCTGGTTGAGAATTTTCAAAAATTGATTGTAAAGATGGTGTGGTGGTGGGGGCATCTGACCTCCTCTAATTTCACAAGGGGAAGGAGAATCAAGATCAAAAGCCCAAGGCTGAATCCTATGAGGCAGAAGTCAGACATGCCCCGTCTCTCCACCATCTTTACCAAATTCTGACACGAGCCATCCCTCCCATGGCACTCTCTACTTCTCTGCTGGGTTCAATAATTCATTGCAGTTGCCACACAGAACTCACAGACCATATGCATAATTATAAGGTTTATTAGGGAAGTAATAGGTTACAATTCAAGCTCAGGAACACTCAGGATCCAGTTCTTCCATCAGGACAGCCTCTTCCCAGCCATGCTCGCAGATACGCTTCTCTGGCCCTCAGCCTCTGCCCTGCTCTGGCAAGTGTGTTACAAAGCTCTTTTAGCTCTGCCAGTAAGTGCCCAGAGGTACTCTACTATGCCAGCAAGTCTCTTGCCCAAAGGCACTCAGGTTTCTCGCTCCGTGGTCCAGGAAACCCACTATGCTGTATCCTGTGTTGTTTCTCTGCCCCTGCTTCTCTCTCTCTCTTTCTCTGTCTGCCGGTTCCAGGAGCTTCTCAGGGCAGGGATCCTGGGTCCAAAGGACACGCTCTTTGCTCCTGGCTGTTCTTGCGTTGTGGTGATAGAATCCTCTCTCTCCTGCCTCTGGGATGACTCACCTCAAGCCCAGTGGGATGGCAAAACTGACCAGTCCCCTTGGTGGGATACAACTACTCTATTTGCACGGTCCCGCCCAATCACTGGGTTAGAGTTACAAGAGTATGGTGAGAAAGACCACACAAAAGCGATCCATCACATCACACTGATGAAAGATATGAATTCATAGATACAGAAAATACAACATATTGATCAGAATTTTAAAAAAAGAATCCATACCTAGATACACTGTAATAAAACTAGAAAACATCAAAAGACAATGATACCTTAAAAATAGGGAGAAAAGACAGATCACCTACAAAGGAATGGCGATTAGACTGAGCAGACTTTTTCACAACCAACATGCATTGCACTGTTATGTGCCTACACGGTCCTAGGTATCAAGAACACAAGGCTAACCAAGACCTACCCAGCCCCTGCCCTGTGGAGCCCACAGCATATCAGAGAAGACAGATGGGGGGAGCAATTACTGTATGACTAGCCAGTCTGGTTGGGGTGCCAGAGAATCGACAAGAAAATAATACCTGTGGAACCAGATTGTGAAGATTTTACTACCAATGCTGGAACATCCTGTGTGTTTACCAAGACAGGGAGGGCTTTTCCCTCCAAGGGACTCTGGGGACGGCAGCTGCTATGTTCACACATCCTTCCTTGACAACAGAAGGAAACAGACAGATCAGATCTCCCAAGACTGGCTGCTGTCTCCCTGGGACCCCTGAGGAAAAAGGAGAGAGCATGCTCCTTTCCAGAGCCTTGTTCTGGGCCCTGGACTGTGGCCACAGGCCAAGGAGCAGCGTATGGACACCTGGGGTCAGGAGAAGCTGCATGGAGGAGAGGGGATCTTATATACAAACGAAGCGAGGAATTGTTAGTGATGGCGAGAGGTGCCCTGAAGCATGGAGAGCTGCCCTTGCTCACCAAAACCAAGCTGGGGTGGGGCTGTGGAGCCACACAGAAGCTTCCCTCTCTCCAGACCTCCGACATGGTCCCCCCTGGGAAGCTTCCAATAAAGGTTTTCTTCAGGGCAGCACATGGGACTGAAGTTCTGCTGGGAAAAGGACAACAGCTTCCCTCTTGGACTCCGTCTAGGTTGGGGGCTGACTTCCTGTCCAACATCAGCACCTCTCAGCCCTGGTTCCATTCCAAAGTCCCCTGCACTGCAGGCCTTCTTCTTCTGCTTGTTAAAGAGTACTATGACTTCCTGTACACTACTAGAGGGCAGGGATTACTGCCGGTTTAGCTTTAAATCCCCAGTGCCTGGGAATGGCCTCTGCCTAGGAGTAGGGGAGAAATATAGAGGCCTCTAAATCCCTGCAGTTTTTTTTCCAAGCCAAAGATAGAAGTGGGGCTGAACCTCTGAAAAACCAGTTGCCTTGGAATTGACTCCAATTCATGGCGACCTCATGTGTGTCAGAGTAGAACTGTGCTCCATAGAGTCTTCAATGGCTGATTTTTTTCGGAAGTAGATCGACAGGCCTTTCTTTCGAGGTGCCACTGGGCAGATCTGAACCTCCAAACTTTTGCTTAGCAGCCTAACTTGTTAACTCTTTGCACCACCCAGGGTCTCTCTCTCCCTCTGAGATATA